TAAAGGTATAATAATATAAACCCTATAAGATATTATAACTAATTAAAGTTATAAAATAACTATAGAGTTTAATTATAATAGACTTTATAACTAAATTACTATTATTAGAAGATCCTTTAACTAGAATCTTTTATAATAATATTATAATTATTATAAATAGACTTATAAAATTCTTAATCTATTTACCCTATAGAGAGGTAATAGATATAGAAGTTATAGCCTATATCTTTTATAATAAGGTAGTAAGAGAATAAGGATTACTAAGGGAAATTCTTTTAGATAGAGGACTAATATTTGCCTTTAAATTTTAGTAATTACTTATAGTACTTATAGGAGTTAATTACTAACTTATAATAGTATTTAAACTATAAGCAGATAGATAAATAAAATAAATAAATTAAGTACTAAAATAATACCTTTAGTATTATATTAATTATAAGTAAGATAATTAGATTAAGAAGCTACTAAGTGCCTAATTAGCATATAATACTGCCTATAATAAAAATATAAAACTTATACTATTTAATATAAATACTAAATTTATACCTAATATATATTATAATACATAAGAACCTAAGAGTATAAACCTAGTAGTAATTATTATAAGTAATAGGCTGAAAGAAGTATATAATAAACTTAAAATAGAGCTAGAATTTATTAGAAAAAGGATATAGAAATACTATAACCCTAAAAGGTTAAAGGGATTAACCTTTAAGGAGGGGGATATAGTTTACCTATTTGTAAAAAATATTAAAATAGATTAACTAAGCTATAAACTAGACTATAAGTACTTAGGACTAGTTAAGATTAAATAAAAAATAAGAGAAAATTAATATAAATTAGACTTACCCCTGAATATTAGATGTTACCTAATTTATTATATCTTAATACTAGAGTTAGCTACTAATATAATATATATTAGAACCAGTAACGAACTATAATAAATTATAAGACTAGAGGTCTATAAGGCAGAGGTAATTAGGAAAATAGAGAAAATTAATAGATAAAAAATATACCTAATTAAATAGAAAAACTACCTAGAAAGTAAAAATATATAGGAACTAATAAGATACCTTGCTAATACCTAGTGACTCCTAAAGAACTTCTATTAGCCTTAAATAAAGGGGAAGTATTAAGAAAATTATTACCTAAACCTAAAGCAGACTAATTTATATTATTAGGGATATAATCTACCTAGAGGTTATAAAGCAGTATATCTTTATATATATCTAAACCAGATAAGATTATATCCTACTAATCTACCTCCTAAAGGCCATAATAAATAGCCTTAGAATGCTTTTCCTTTATATAATTATAAATTTTATAAATCCTTAATAAATAACTAGTAGCCAGAGCTAAATAGGACTATAGCACTGCTATTTCCTTATAAAGCTTAAGAAGATCCTTACTTACTTTATTTTTATTATTCTCTAATTTCTTTTCTTATTTTATTAAATTTATAACTACTATAGTTAGTAAAGAAAGGCCAATAAAAATAGCATATAATAACCTATAGGAAGAGGTGATATAAGTACTATTATAAGACTTTTTAGCCTAAATATACTTACTGCAGTAAGTAGAATTAGCAGATATTAGATACTTCTTACCTGCCTAAAAATAATAAGTATAAGGCATATTAGCTTCTTTATTAATAAATTTAACAGAAAGCATAAGTATTTAGATTTTATAATCCTTATAAGATAACTACTTAGAGATATAGTTAGATATTATAGAATATAATAATAAAAGGTTTAAGTTAGACCTTACTAAAAGAAGACTGATATAGTTAGGATAACAGGCCTTAAGGGCAAGACCACCAGAGAGGAGAGATCGTATTATAATCCCAGCGGTTATATTATATATACCCTATAAAAACTCTACCCTAGTAACTAACTAGATAAAGACTAATAAGTATAAGAATAACAGTATTCTAGGACCGTATTATTCTAGGATTAATAATAACCTTATATTATATCGCTCCTATATAACTATTATTAGTATATAAAACATATTTATTAGCACTTTTATAGGACTTAGCTTACCAGCTATTAATAAAGTATCTTTATATTAATAAGCCTAGCCTATATTACTTAATTATTAAGAGATATAATACTTTGCACCGCTTAGCATCACGCCCTATGTTATCTGCAAACATAAACCTAGTACGGACTAGTTTACCTGTTTGGAAACCTAACCATTACATATAAATTAACCTATAAAATTAGCAGAGTTACTTACCCTATATCTACCTAATTATAAGAAATATAATATTAAAACAACTCTCTCCTGTAAAAATTCTTTCTTGGCACGCACTGTTAGTGCGGTGCTAGGAGCGGGATTTTCTGCAGGCCACGCGACCACACAAAAACTGCGGGGACGCTATCGGCTCCCTAACAGCAGTTTTCAGAGAAGGAATTTGGAGAGTTCGCCTTCTCTGACAACACCTTTGTCGGATCTAATGGCGGCACCTCAGAACCAGAACGCCTTAGATATCGGAGGACGGTGCCCGTGGCATCGGTAGCGACATCCTCCCGATCAACGACGCCGATTGCGATGGGTTTTTCCCCTTTGAAGGCAAGCCGCACCGCCGGCCTCTGATTCCTTCCCAAGGTTTTTCCCTGCCGCCACGACATACGACTACGAGCTACAACTTGGTTACTGGAGATTGTGGACTGCGTCAGCAGATGTAGCGATGCGTGAGAGAATTCTGGTCGGTGGAAAAAGTCGACAGTATGCCCCCGAACCCGCTGACGGGTGACGGGCTCGAGAAAATACAGCGCCTTTTGTGCCTTGGTATGCTGGATGGTGAAGGAAGCGGGGTATCCTGTACCTAGCTAGCTCAGCACGTCTTTTGCTCCAGTAGGAGATTTGGCTTCGTTACAGCCACCCAGACGAAAAATACACAAACAAACAAACAAACAAATATAATATTAAAATACTACAACTTAGAACTATAATATATTAAAGTAACTTATCCTATATATTATTATATTATATTATAATAATGTATTTTTCTTAGTATAATATTTTATCACCTAATCTAGTTCAATTCTAACCAGCCCAGCCAGCCTTAGGTCTTTAACTTCGCTGTTTTTTCTGAATACTAAAATATTGTTTTCTTAAATTGCCTTCTTTCCCTCTTTCCCCTTCCCTACCCTGCAGTTACCCTCTTTTCTCATAATAGAACATTCACACTATCTATTTAATCTCTGCAATGGTGCGTTTCAACTCCATAAACCTCGCCCAAGTATGCATCATTGCCGATAAAGGCCTGCTGTCAGAGGGATAACCCCGTCTTATCCTTCAACTGATCAGCAAGGCCTTCTACCGCGTTCCTCTGGCCCCAGATGAATTTCGTTACATACTCGTCTTGGTCATCCCCCTCAACGAGTTGCTAGCAATCGAATATAGTGAGATTAACTCACTGTAGCGGCAATAAGTCGTCGATATGTGGAAAGAAGTTACTTGTGATCTAGCGACGGCGAAGGATGGCATACAATTTTCTGATGGAGTTAGCCCCGAGCTCCGAGAAATCGCTTGGTTCTGCGGTCACGTACGCGTAGACCACGTCGACCGATAATCTTGACCCGGTTGACCATCGCTGATGATGGTTGCGCAGCGGCGTATTTTCCATGATTGGAATTATAGGTTGTTGCACCAGTAATAATCGCGTTTGGAGGTTGACGATCAAAAGTGGTTTTGGCCTGCCAACTGAGGGATGAAACATCTTTTTATTCTTGTGGATTGAGGCCACTTGTCCAATTGGATCTTAAGGCTCGAGGCAACAGCTGTATGATCTGTTGACTTGATGTCAAGGTTACAGTGTTTTTCGGTGTGGTGTATAACGCCGTATATTGTATCAAGGTTAAAAATCTAGATTGTGTTATCTTGGCTATGCAACCTTAGCCTCACTTTTGGTGTAGCTGCGGCTAATCTGTCTTAAATATATTTTATTTTATAAACTTATTATTTAGTTATAAATAGTTATTAAATTCATTTTAAAATAGGTTAACGTATTTAATAAATAATAAATAAAATAAAGCCAAGGTTATCTAATTAAGATAATATAATATAATGGTTTTTAACCTTAATACTAAGTAAATTATATAATATTTTAATTAATATCTTATAATATTAAATTATTTATAGGCTTTTTATTATAAAAAATAATAATAAGATAGATAATCTATATATAGCTCTTAGGTCTATTAAATTATATTTACCATAACTCATTTTTATCTCAGCCTGATATTACCTACCAAATATTACATACAGGTTAACAGGATCTGCTGCACAGCTGACACTGGGCTAGGAGATACTTACTTGGTAGCCTTATAATGCTACCTCCAGAATCACTAGACAACGCCGCTCTGTCAGAAGTAAAGCATGTGAAAGCCTGGGTTACCTGCTCTTCAACAGACACCCTCTCTTCTCTATATCACACACCAAGCCCAGCTATAGTTAGTCGGAAACTTCCTTTTACCTTACACCAACCAGACATCAAGTAATCAAGACGACACATATTGTGGATTATGCTTTCACATGTTAACTGTTCCCTCCATCATTGATAGACTTCAAATACGATGACACTTTATTTCATCACATTACAACCCTCATTCTAGTTGGTCTTCCGTACTTAATCGGCGTCTAAACCAAATGAGGAGTGCCTTTCGGAACGAAAGGTCGTGCTACCGCGCAAACCTCCTTCTTTCCCCCCTCCACCACTGGCAGATGTCGCCCAGATGTCTAGCTCTTCGTATAATGATGAAATGAGGAATCACCAGTGATTTAAATGTGTCCGTCAGTGAAGATATAAGAATATAATAAAGAGCCTATGATAGCTGATTCAAGAGCACTGCTTCCGTTCATTTTGCAACTCGCAATATAAATTGACCCTGGCCCCATTATCTCTTCAGTTCTGAGGTTCCATCTCCTCCAAGGACACTCTGCTACTGCTAGTCATCTTTATATTCAACTCTACATCACAAGAATATCCCGACATGGAAGCTATCTATCAAGTTCAACGCCAATTCAGACTCGACCGTGGCCTGACTAGGATCAGCGTCAAGCGAAACCCGCACTACCAGCCACATGGCACCAAATCCTATGTTCACCTTCTCAACCGCTTTGGATTTAAACCTACTAAACCCGGACCGTACTTCCAAGATCGTCAAATCCAACAACGTGGACTCGCTCACCCTAGATTTCATGCTGCCGTGGGCGGACGTGTCTATCAGACCAAGATTCTTCGAAAGAAGCTAGGTACCGATGGAACTCTAGATGCCGACGGAACTCGAATTGGAGAGGTTACGGCTGAAGACGTGCCGTTTGATTCCATGTACTTATGCGAGGTGTCAATTGGCACACCCCCTCAGAAGTTCAATTTGGACTTTGACACTGGATCCGCAGACCTTTGGGTAAGCATTCCTAATGAGGCTCTAAAGCAGGGAGTGAAAAATACTGACCAGGTACTTAAAGGTCTTCTCAACAGAATTGAGTAAGAGAATTCAGGAAGGTCACAATGTCTTTAATCCTTTAACTTCCTCATCGTTTAATGAGCTCACCGATAAGACGTGGAAAATCTCCTATGGAGATGGGAGCTCAGCATCTGGAGATTGCGGCTCAGATGATGTTACTATCGGTGGTTTGACTATCAAGAATCAAACTGTTGAACTTGCATCGCAACTCGACCAGCAATTTGCGCGGGGCAAGGGCGATGGTCTTCTTGGCCTTGCTTTCCCACAGATCAACACAGTCAATACCAATGGGGATTCAGACCCTGCAGACACTCCTGTTGTTAACATGATCAATCAACATGACATTCCCAAGGAGGCTGAGCTCTTTACCTCGGCGTTTTACAGCCAGCGGGACGCTAATTCGCCTGAGTCATTCTATACTTTTGGCTTCATTGATACTGACCTTGTCGCGAGATCCGGAGAGGAAATTTCGTGGGCCCACGTTGACTCGTCTGATGGTTTCTGGAAGTTCCCATCTGCCAGTGTCTTTGTGAAGGGCAAAACCATCGATCTTTCCGGTAACAAGGCCATTGCAGACACTGGTACAACTCTAGTCTTGGTTTCTGACAAGGTTTGCGAGGCGCTGTATGATGCAATCCCTGGGGCGCGTTATAGCCCGACACAACAGGGCTATGTCTTCCCAAGAAGCACAAATGTACAAGACCTTCCAGAATTCAAGGTGGCGATTGGGGATAAGCAGTTTGTTATCCAGCCCCAGGATTTGGTGTTTGCACCTGCAGACAAAGACAACTGGTACGGTGGAATTCAGTCGAGGGGCAACTTGCCCTTTGATATTTTTGGCGACGCTTTTCTGAAGTCGGTTTACGCGGTATGCCGTCTAGAAGCTGAAATTTCTAAAAGAATGCTAATGAAAGACAGATTTGGGACCAAGGCAACAAACGATTTGGAGTCGTTCCAAAAATTGAAGAAACTCAGAATTTGGACCCTACGCCTATCGCATAGGGGAGTGCATTCATTATTATGTCAAGAAGGTTTTGTAAGTATGGGTGGTGCGTTGATATGGATATTGCTCACTCCTGAATTTCTCAGTGCAATACTGTTTGGTGATATACACAATATCTCGACAGTGAATTACTCTAGTAGCCCACAACAAACAAATTGTATGACGATCAATACACATATGCATCGTATAGAGCAACTTCTCAATAATGTTGAGAACTGAACCACACTGGAACCCGAACATCATTTCTAATTCTTCCCACAACAATACCCTGTCAAGTTCCATAGCTGTACTACAGCAGGCACTAAATGAAACAGTAACCGGCATCGTGACTCAATCACTGTTACTTGGAAATAGCCAGACAGGTCAATGTAAGATATGCAGGCAAACAAGTTACTTTTCTCGCCTTCGACTTATCATCCCACTCGAACCTGAACAGGAGGCCCGTTAGGTGAAATGTTCACCTCATTGTCATCTGTCATCTATTTACGTCGCTAACTCATAGTTCCGAACAATCTGAGTTCAGCCTAGTCGCCAGTACGGCTGTTGTTCTGGCAGAATCATACTTGGGGTTGGCGAAATTGTATGGCAGTCGCAGGTAGTGCATATACCATTCCCCTAGGACACGCGCGGTTATTGTTGAACAGGCACTGGGTGTTACGTGCAAGCAGGGATACTTCAAGATTACAACCGAAATGGTAAAACATCCAAGGGGCAGACTTCAACAGAACGCAATATGAATATACCTACCTCGATCAATGGACGAATACACATAATGTCTGACAGTTATTAGGTAAAACTGGCCGTGCTGCCAGGGGGGAAGGAGAGGGTTTAGGGCTCTTAGGGTTTAGAGACAGATTACTATTAGAGTTTAGGGGTTAGGAAGAGGAAAAGAATAGAAAAGATAGTATAATAATTTATAGAGATAAGGAAAGGGGATGAGATAGGAATAAGATAAGATATAAGAAATAAAAGAAAGATAAAAAGCAACTACTAATTATCTAGGAAATGAAACCAGTCCTCATTAAGTTAAGGAAATGGTTTAGTAAGCAAACTATTATAATAGCTTCCTGAGCAAGGCAGCTAGCAGAGGGTTTTAAAATAAACCAGATGATCTGACTTTGCAAGCAGCTTGATATCTTACTTCATCTGCTCTGCGAGGCTTCTATTAAGCCTAAACTAGATAGGGTAGAGTATCAATACTGCAACTGCTTTAAAGACTATTAGAGGTCAACTACAAGTATTAATTGTATTTGTAGAATCGTCCTCCTTGTCAGGATAGAGACCCTGGTTGCTGCAGGGCCCGATAGATAAGGATATAAGGCTGCTGCCACATGGGAGGCTGCCTATCCCTAGACCAAAGATATATAGGGGACCTGGCTGCAGGAGCTATCGGTTCCTGACCTGTAATAGGGCGAATCTCTCCACATATAAGATCTATAAGGGATACAGGGCGCTGGCAGGCAAGGGACGTAGATAAGCATCTGTAATGCTTTAATTTCTGTAGAAGGCTCCGCATGCAAGGTACTGGATCGTCGATCCGGAAGGCACCTGTCATAGTAGACGCTCGGGTAGTGGCTTGTCTTTAGACCAGGCCCCGTCTCCATCGGATGCTATACTACTGTGGGCTGTCTGGAAGTATAAGAAGGAGCTTAAGAAGGCAGAGGTTGAACAGTAACGGCAGGTCGAGGCTCCAGGTAGAGTAGATCCTGAGTCAAGATGGGTGCAGTTTATGAAGTGGTCGGCGTACTTACAGGAGAAGGACAAGGAGATGCTGCATGAGGCCAGATAATCGCCAGCTTCTACTGTAGTCGAGCAGCGGACATGGCCTTGTGTGATGCTGCCAGGGCTTGGAACTTGAGGAAGACTCTTTGTGGGAAGTCGGATGGTGTGCCTTGCAGGAATGTGGCGGCCACGAGGGTGTCTAGGTAGATGACGATGTCTTGTCCTGCTACTTCTCAAGATTTAGGGCGGCCTTGAGGCCTTTTGATTCTCCTGTGACCTCAGCGTCAAAAACAGCCGCGGGTCCAAGGCGATCTGATCCATTGAAGACCAAAAGATTATTCTGGTGGATAATAAAGCCCTAGCTGGCAGCTTCCTCTGAGGACAGGGAACCATCTGAGTATAAAACCAGGGGAAGTAAGTCGAGATACTGAAGCCAATGGAGGATGGCCTCAGTCGTTTCGTCTTCAGATGCTATCTGCAGCGGTGCCACATGCTCCTACTTCAAGCAATACTGAAGGATTGTGGGTCATACACAGCGCATGGTGAGCTTGTCGGTGCACCTAAGGCGTGTCCTGAAGCCGCTCTCGGTCGGTGCTTGATTTTCACGTTTGACGAGATCGTGGTAGATAGGTTCATCGGACGGAAGCGTTCGGGTCTGGCGATCATGACTACTTATTACGTTGAATACTCTGGGGTACGGGCTGGCAGTTGAACCAAACACAATCAAAGCATCCTCGGGGTACCTAGGGGATATTAGATATATCAGATGTTCAGAAACTGAGATCTGATCTGTTTGATCCGACTAGGTTTAATATCTAAATCGAATTAACTGATCTAATTGACGTATCTGGTTGGTCATCAGATCCGACGACAGCGCTTATAAGCGCCTCTTTTTAAGCTTTCTGCCATGGGCAACGTCGATATGGTCTTACCCATCTATACGCGGAGGAGACCCTGAAAAGATGGCCCCTTTCCAAGTTGTGGGACTCTTCGTTAGACGTTTTGGGAAAGGGTGAGGTGACTCTTGGCATGCGCAAGTAAGCTTCAGTGGAGGTTTCCGAGATATATGCCCTCATAGAGCATCAAGACCTCACTCAATACTATCCAAAAGATCTTTGGCTCTCGAAGAATAGTATCATTGTATATAGAATATCTGAAACCATCTAAAAGTTCTGCTCAAAAACTGTTCATCAGGACTGCTGCAATCGATTTTGAGTGTCATAACCGAACTCAAGCCTCAGGCCATTTCCAAAACATGTTGGCACCTTCAATATCCGCCAAGGGGTTACCCTCACCCTGCCTGGCGCTTCCGTACTGCTCGTCAAACCCGCATTTTTTATAGAACTCCTCCGTGCCAAAGGCACTAACAACCGAAGCGCAAATGCCATCCGCCTTGGCCTGCTCCAGACCCCATTGCACAAGCTTCCGGCCAACATTTTTCCCCTGAAAGTCTGGACGCACTGCTAATCCTTCGAGATACCAGGACTCAGCGCGCTTTCCGCTCCATATGTCTTCGAAATAAGGATATGCCCGCTCGATGATGTCCTCCTCCTTCGAGTCGCTTGCACGATTAGGCCAGGCCCAAGCATGAATGTTCATGACAATAGAAGATAAAGGCTTGAGAAGGTTTCCTGGGTCGATGGTTTAGCGTAGCCTGTATAACTAGGCTTGAGCCTAATGGGATGAGACACTCACGAGGATCCAAATACCAGCACTCAAGCTTTTGGCCCCCATCTCCCAGTCGTGCCCACTGAGCAATGCCGGCAATAATTTCCTGGCCACTCTCGTCTTTGGCCACAGCAACGAGCCATCGCCAGCGATAGTCCCAAAAGTTAACCCGTGCCCGTCGCAGCCAGTACAGGTGTACATCATTGGGATATTCGTTGCGATGGGGGTGTATGAGCTCGCCAAATATGTTATCCTTCCAAAATGCCTCTGACATGATGTGGGCAATCTCTGGGAGTTCGGAGTAGCGCGCATCGCGCAATGCAATCTCAGACATGATTTTAGCACCCGAGACAGGTGGCAAGATAAACGTGATGTAACGTGGAGTGCAAGATCTAGGACCCTTATATCTTCTGTGACAATGACTTTAGATGGTCTAGACCAGGTAGTGTCTCAACACGCGTGATTTAATATGATCCGATTGGTCTGCTTTGATCCTTGCTGCAGATCCTCCACGGCCCTAAATGAGGTTGTTGGTTTGTTCAGGCTGTCAGTGTCATATCCAGTTACCAATTTCGTCACTAGTCGGAGAAGCGCAAAGGCGAAGGGTGGGGGAAGGCCGGCACGCATCGGGAGAAAGAAACAGGCTGCCAACCACGCGAACGGACGATGTGGCGGCGAAGAGGAGAAATATTAGGAAGCTACTTTTACTTTGGCAGATCTGGGAATGATGATGGGGGGCACTAATGGCTAGTATCAACGAAGGCTCTGATTGGTCAGATCCACTCTTAGGCATTCACCAGGCTCATGGTAGGCTTCAAAGAGACCCTCATCAGCGGAGCAGGTTAGATCCCCAATTTTATGCTCTGCAACATATCTGATATACCAAATATGGGTTTTAAATCCGGTGTTTTGCATTTGTCTGTTTTGAGATAAGGCTTTGGCGTATTTGATAGATCTGTTTGGCATTTTGTTTGATTGGATTCGATTCATTGGCAGCACTGTCTACTACATCGGTTGTCCTCATACGTGACCTTCCATGTCACCTCCTTATTAATGATCATTTCTTGACTGCCAGCCCTGGAATTCCGCCCTTCCTCTGATATATGATCCCAACTATTGCTGCCAGTGTCCCTTGATGTCGTTGTTTGAGTTGAGACCTCGTCCGGCCTCCAACTGTGCGGTTGGCTATGGGCAGCACTATCAAATGTTGATTTTACTCCAGTCGCCATAGCCGCAGATGATGTAACCCCAGAGCTATTATTCCTAAGTGACTGAAGTGCGTATACGTTGCTTGATCTAGATATACTGAGGTTAAAAGACGCTGGAAACCCCATTCCCATAGAGAATGACTTTAAAAAGTTCTTCAGATTTGGCACAGTGGCAGAAATAAGCGACCAAGCAACCATGATCTGTTGACAGAGCAGGGCCTTTGTGACGGCGAATTGAGGCTCAAGAGAGGCTGGATATGTTGCAGTATACGCCAGATGAACGGCCGAGAGGGCGATGAGCGGTATACGGAATGAGAAAGCCATAACAACCTGGCACTTGCGGATGTATGAAATGTTGACGGACCAGGATAGCTGCAGCACGAGGAGCCAGGTAAGGATTTCGGTCAAGATGTCCATCGCCGTTATGACGGCCCATCGTGTATTCTAATCATCAATTCTTTGGTTAGGCATCTGATGATGAGTCTTCAGGAGGTGCAAAGTGTTTTCATACCTGGTGCGGGCATTGCTTGACGTTATCCAAAGTCAACAGAGAATCCGCGCGGCAGTTCACAAGCCATGCCAAACAGGAGCCGACACCCCATAGGACAGTGATCACCATGAGTCCGATGCAAACCGGTCCACTCTTCCCAGGCTTCGAGCCAATGATGCGTTGGATGAGGGCGAGAACAGAGCATTTGGCGAGACTAAGAGTTAGAAGGCAGAGAATACCGGCCGCTAGAGTTGACTGGTGGTGGCCATGTTAGCTGGTGATAGTAGTAGTACCGCATAAGGCTTACTTTCGACGATGTCGCCCATTGTTCCAGTGTAGTGATAGAGTTGAACTTGCCAAGGCCGTTACTCAAACCAATAAAGACAGCAATTGACTGAGCTAGATGGAAGATCTGAGTGGTTAGTCTATATGTGGAGCGTCATCCAGATCTGATGGGCATCCTCACAATTGCTAAAGCAAAGAAAATATCATCGAAACCGAACTTGTGATACTTGATATACAACCGTGCCAGAGCCACAAGCGTGCTGTAGATCAGGGACAAGATTGTCACGATCCACAATTGACCGGCGTGGTCGTTATATGTGACAGGAGAGAACCGATATGAGCCGTTGTTATCTGATGTCTCTGGATCCATGGCTAGAGACCATTGAGTCCGATTCGAGAAAGGTTATGAGGGAGATGTATTGCGCTGTTCAAGAGACAACAGATGACTATTAATCTCTATTTTCACCCTTGCGGCACGAGTACCTAGGCACAGGCCACCGCAGCTCGGGTGTTGGCAGATGTGAATGTTCAGGGCTCGGACTCTACAGCCACCAACGCCACAAGAATATGTCTCCTAATTCCGATTAGCCAGCATGTTATTCTGGCAAAGGCCTTGAAACTTTAAATTTCAGGGTATAGGGCATGTGTGCACCAACAGAGTGGTCAGAAGCTTGCTATTGCGTACCAAAAGAAGCCGAATGTAATAGTGAAGCCAAGTGCCTCCCCAGTACCTTACCCACATTTGTTGGCTGTTGGCGCTTTTTTGTTGGTTCTGTGGCTGCATGAACCCTGGACGAAATGAGAAGACATGAGCCCTCAGGTTGTCGGATCATCATCGAAGCCCGCACTACTAGACTGCCGAAGTCCGGGACGGCACAGGAGGTTCCCGTCTTGTCGAGGCCCGAGCGGACTAAACCCCTGTAACATGAAAGGGTGCTGTACGTAACAATTGGACCGGGATGGATATGCTGGTAAGCAAACAACCAGCTGTTGGATCAGATGTACATCCTGAATGGCGTTCATGCCGCACCGCTGCATTCCTTTTACCAAGCCTTAGCTGTCTCCCACTCGACATTTTTTTCTTGACCTTCAATTTTCTTCTACTTGGCTATGCCGTCAAAGAAGTCAAAAAATACCGCCAACATGTCAATTGACGATGACAAGAGATCCCTCGACGTTCACGATGCTCCCATCGGCATTAATGACAATGTCGACGAGAAAAAGGCAACTGCGGCCGATCGCGCCGACATGTATCGGATGGGCAAAACCCAAGAAATTACGGTTCGTACCAATACCTGGACCCTTTTGTCCTGGGCTCACGCGACATCACACAGAGGAACTTTCGCTTCTTGTCCATCTTCGGCTTCTCCATGATTCTAATGGCATCTTGGGAATTCTCTTTGAGGTAAAGAATGCAGATAAAAGTATTCTGGTCGCCTGTTGGCTAACTAAGCCTGTCAATTGAAGTGTCTCGACTATCGGACTCGTCAACGGCGGCACTGCTGGTACGATCTGGATGTTCTTTGTGTGCTGGATGGGATTTTTATTCGTCAATACTTCCATGGCCGAGATGGCTTCGATGTATGTATCCTCCTCATGCACAACATGTGGTCACATTATTGACGCGAATCTTGTGCAGGGCACCCACGACGGGCGGACAATATCATTGGGTTTCTGAATTCGCGCCATCACAGTACCAGAAGCCCATCAGCTACCTCATGGGATGGATGTGCGTACTCGGCTGGCAAACATCATGTGCATCCTCCGCCTTCATTACTGGCACCCAGATCCAGGGACTCATCGTACTAAATCACCCAGACTACGTCCCCAAGCCATGGCACGGCACGCTACTCACCATAGCTGTAGCTGCGTTCTCGGTACTCTTCAACATCTACCTAGCCAGGAAGTTGCCATTGATCGAAGCCGTTATCCTGGTCATTCACGTCTTCGCCTTTTTTGGCATCCTTGTTACTCTCTGGGTTCTTTCGCCAAGGGCTGATGCTAAAGCTGTCTTTACCCAGTTCAGCGATGGCGGAGGTTGGAATAGCATAGGAGGCTCGACGCTTGTAGGCATTCTTGCAGGCGTTTTACCACTGCTAGGTGCAGATGCTGCTGTTCATATGTCCGAGGAGCTGCACGATGCAAGTCGTACTTTGCCACGTTCGATGGTCATGACGACTCTCTTCAATGGTGCTTTTGGATGGATCATGGTTATTACCTACTGCTTCTGCATAGGTAACCTTGAAGAGGTCATCACGTCTCCAACAGGCCAGCCGTTCATGCAGGTTTTCTACAACTCGACACAGTCAGTCAGCAGTGCTACTGCCATGGCATCCGTCATTGTTGTTATGATTGCCTTCTCCAATCTTACTATGGTGTCTACATCGTCGCGTCAGCTCTTCGCATTTGCGCGAGACCAAGCTATTCCATTTAGTGCTTGGTTCTCCGATGTCCCAGCGGGATGGGATGCCCCCATCAATGCCATTCTGGTAACCTTCCTAATCTCAAGTCTTCTTTCCCTCATCAACATCGGCTCTGCTGTCGCATTGAACTCAATCACTTCTTTAGCAACAACAGGGCTTCTCTCTAGCTATATGGTCTCTATTGGCTGTATGATATGGCGGCGATGTACAAAGAGCCCGCTTCTGCCATCCAAGTTTAGTCTTGGTCGATGGGGTCTTGCGATAAACATCATCTCCGAGGCTTTTCTTGTCCTCATTTTTGTCCTGGCATTTATGCCTGGTAACCCTAACCCGACGGCATCACAGATGAATTGGAGTATTCTAATCTATGGTACCGTAGCGTTGTCATCTTTGGTATACTATGTCTTCCGTGGTACTCACCGTTACGAAGGCCCAGTCGCCTACGTCCGAATGCTTGTGCAGTAAGGGGCAACATAGCGAGTCACGTCTTTGCAAAATGACCTTCTAGATTGAAATACTTAGTTTAGATTAGAATCTAACAATTTCCTATATCGATCGCTTTTTGTGACTTCATAGTGGTTTGAACAATAAATTCCAGCCCTTGTATTACCGTGCCCATGAGTTGCTCCGACTTCTTTAACCATTAAAAGACAAAGTGTTAAAGGATATATGCTATGGTGTAACGGAGCTGGTGACCCGAAACCCTCTGCACTACCGGCCGGTTTGCACAATTTCTGAAGATCCTGGGGGAAAGAGAAAACAACCTCGGTCCATTCTCGTTTTCGGTTTGGTGTAAACCCTGTCGAAGGCTTAAAATGGCTTGCTTGACCGGCTGCAGCCACAACAGCCCTTTCACTGGGATAAGCAAGGGCAGATTTTGATACATGCTAGTGCATATGAAGGGCCTTAATAGCGGGCAGTGACATTTGTAACAAACCAATAATGCAGGCCAGCAATTCGAATGATGGGAACGAATAGGCAATGTTTCCCAGTTATAAGGTGATAAGCCTACCCAGCCCACCATGTCAGCATCAAGCCATCGTTGGGCACACGGGCTCGTTCCGCGGAGATAGCGGAGTCCTGATCAGATGCTCATTGTTACCGCTTCACCCGCAAAAAGCAAACCTCCTGCTATATTGCAGGTGTTGGCTGAATCTAGCTGAGTCTCCCCTTACACGATATTTACCGATAAGTTGCTTCGTGTACGCGGCAAACAAAGGTGGATAAAACGGCAAGATAACGCATTTTCTCAACCCACTTGCCCAAATGCCATTAAACCATTGCTGCCTAAAACTGAAACTTGTCAAAATGCCAAAGCAGTTATGCACATTGCCAGCCGAATTACATATTACTTTATCGAGCTGATGTGGCTAGCTACAAGTTTGCAAGGGCAGCTCATGAACTGCCATCTGTTCGAAGGAGGCCTGAGCGTCTGACCAAATGCCCTTTTTCCGTCCTTACAGCCTTATGGGTCTTAGCATTGCGGATTAACATGTAGATCATTCTCAGTGGTGCTCTGATCGCAACGATGCCTCCACGAATACTTCTTCAGTGCCCCACATGGCCATACACAATGCCAACGACCATCAGGCTGTAATGGCGGAATGACATCCCCTGCCGGACTCGAATGTCACAAAGAGTCAATTGATCAGACGCTCGGGCTTCCTTCGAACAGATGGCAGTTCATGAGCTGCCCTTGCAAACTTGTAGCTAGCCACATCAGCTCGACAAAGTAATGTGCAATGATTGTTTTAGTATGGCCGCAGGTTTGAGTATCAGGCAGCAATGAGCCGAGGGGAATTTGGCCACGTTGGTTGAGAGAATGGCGCACCCCCGCCACCATACACGAAGCGACTGGCTGATGTTCATAATGAGGCGAGATAGAACACTGCATTAAAACCAATCCCGTAATGTAGCAGAAGGCCTTTTTTCTTTAAGAGCGAATCTATAATACAGGTTCCTTTGTCAGGTCCTAGCTATCTTCGAGGAGGGAGCCGATCTGCCTGATAACAACTTGGTGCTAACATAGTTTGCGGGATAAAGCGTTTGCTTCATAATTGATGAAACACACAATATTGAGCACATGCACCTTCCTCTCCTACAATAACCCTTGTTGGTTGATTCAATAAAAGTCCCATTTAGGGCATAAGTATATATAGGCACTGTGTACTCTTTCGTATGTGGCTGATAGCCCACAAGTTAACGTAATCACTTGACGGAATTCAGCGACAGTACTTACGACTCGCACTCTCAGCTTATCTCCACTTCCTTAGATTCGCGCCCCAAACCTCCAGGCAGCAGTGGTACTTTTAAGTACTTCATTCGCTCAGCCAGAAATTGCTTACGCACCCCATAAGGAGGCCAAATTCTGATAAAACATCTGCTTATGAGCTACAGCCATGTCTCCTCATGGCCCACCTTAGACTTCATAAAGAGCATGCTGTTTGGAGCATAAGGTGCACGTGCTCAATACTGTACAACAGCTAATGATTGCCTATTCGCTTCCCCTTACTGCCATACCGCAATTATCCTCTTGCACCATTAAGTAACTCGCTGAGCCGCTTTAAGTTACTCGCCTACACTTATCAGTCTGTCATAAGTGCCACTGAACGCCGAATAGCCTTGTGCTTCCATCATTACGCAGTCAGCTGCCTGCCAGCAAACCCTGTGCAGTTAGTCTATGCTAAGGGGCTTTTATAGCTATAGCCGGTTAAGTAAGCTATTTTGGGGATATCAACAGGGTTTCTATTAAAACTAAAAACAGCCATAGACCAAGCCTGTTTTCTCTTTCCTCGGAGAAGGAATAAACTCTATGATCCTTCCCTTAAGTGGCCCTTAAACCCACTAAGTTCGAGACCTGTAACAACTGCAAATCTAATTGTGGCCAGCACTGCATCCACGCCTAGTGTCCATTTCTGTCCGTCTAGTGCTGCCTTGCCCCCTAGGTGAAATAAAAGATTGCTATGCTTTCCCTCTGTATATTGTAGTATCTTGTGGCATTATATTTTTTATTCTATGCACTAGAAGAGAAAATACTCTACTATTTCTTTTACCTGCCTATATGGATATTTATCTATTAATACTTACCTAATCTAATATAAATAACCATTTAGTTATACTATTCTAGTTCTAAGCTATGCTAATATACTAGCTTCCTTTTATTATAACTAGTTATATAATAGGCAAGTATATTTGTTAAGGAGAGCTAAGTTAACCTTCTTAGAATAATTTCCTTTTACTTTGTAAATCTACTTGAATTAAACTAAGAATTATTATCTTTACTTTAACTACTACTTTATATAATATAATATAAGGCATTATTATAAAATAGGCCAATATCTTAGCTATCCTTTAAATTTTAAGCTTACTAGTAAAGTATAGCTAGATAATATTAAATCTATTGCAGTTTACTTAGGGCTTCTCTATAATATTATATATCTCTTAGATATGCCCTTAGCCTAATTATTAGTAAGGGTTATTTATAGCCTATACTATAAATCTATTTCTTATTAAAATTATAATAACTTAATACTTTATCTCTAATAAATAGCTAAGGCTATAAGTAATTACTACTAGTTTAGCTATATAAGGGTTATATTCTTCCCTTATTCCTAAGGTAATTAAAAAGGTATTATTAATCTTAATAGCTTTTACTATAGATATAGAGAATTTAATAGCCTATCTTATGCTAACTAGATTATTCCTTATAGAATTGCTTATTAATATCCTGATTGCCTATCCTGCCTTAGCTATTTATTTAATATTATCCTTTTCTTCCTCTCCTTAACTATTTACTATATCTTTTAGGCATATCTCCTATAGTACAAAGGTGAAAAGCTAAATAACTTCTATAATATCTATTAATAACTCTCTCTATATACCTATAATATGCCTAAGGGGGGATACAAAGCATCTAAAGGCTTTAATTCCTCGTAGAGGATTTTAGACCAGGTTGGTTCGTAGTAGCATATATATATATATACCTATAGTTTGCTTACTTATCTCTAGAACCTTTCTTAGATAGTTGCTATATGGGCTTCAGCTTCGGCTACTCCTGTCGCCATGCTTGCGAAGTACCCTATGATTGCTCCTATACGTTGTACTCGATGGATCGTATACACCAATGCTGCTTTGCACGCATACATCCAGACGTTGTAGGCATAGTCCACCACAGGGGCTACCACTAGAATAGTAGGCATATAAGGTATTCATTAACTTGGAGGGCAAATTCATCCTCGGAATATTTATGTTGCGATTGTATCGCTTGGAAACGTCATGAGTTGTTTAGAAACTGTCCTGGCAACTGTTTTCATATTCGCTCTCAGCTACTCCAGTGGTAGGCAAAGGGACTATCATCGTCTGTCTGGGCAATGCCTGCAGTGGCTTTCTGGTTCGATATAGCGGCGGTTTTCCTAATACGGCTAAGCAATATCTTCGTTGCAGTTTTTCAATTAATAGAGTACATGTTTTTTGTCTTAATATAACTCGTCTGGAACTTCATCAGTTTTGACGCCGATGTGAACGCCAAAGCCATTATGGTAGCTACTGAAGTGGCGTGAAATAACCCGTTAGCCTATATTCTCCTGTAACGACCCAGCGTTATATGCATCAATGAATGGATTGTTATCTTCGCCGGATGTGGAATCATCGTTGCTAAACGGGGGAAAGAAACCAGCAGGGAGTAGCAGTGGAGCCGGTAGTAGTCTCTCCGTGCGTCATGACAGATACTTAATCTTAATAGACCGTGATTCTTCGATTGCTTTTATCTCTAAACCACCGGCAACGGGACCAGATGCTACTATCGCCGCCCAGTGACGGATGGCGCTTCTGTACGTTTATTTGACCTCCTAACGTGAGGTTCGGAAGGCCATGGGAGAATATCTTGCTTAGGCCGCTTCGTATCGACAAATACCGTAAACTGGTCATCGGGGCGAATACCACCAAGTCCGCAGGATTCTAAGGATTGCTGTCTTATATACTTCTGGTCGTTGTTCCAAATCAAATCCAGCTCGATATCGCTGCTTTGTGCTCTGTCATCGTTCATCGGGCCCTCAATTTTATTATTATCCCGGTCTATGACTGAAGTTTGCTGATGTATGCCTTTGCATCGATCCTTCAATGGCTTGTAATTGATGAAGACCCTGGAAGCTGTTCGTCGAGACCGACCAAATTCTGATGGTTGTGCAGAATCTTTTCTAGTTTGGGCGTTCGAGGGCGTGCGAGGGGTTGGCGATGGATCAGCTGGATCACCTGATAAATCAGTGCAGAAAGGTGCACCGCTGTAGTATATGATAGCACTATCGTGGTGTTACTACTTGGAAGCCGACCCCCTGGAGTAATTCAAGCCAAAGCTCGACCCGCTAAGATTATTATTATCTACGGCTATAAATAAGCAAACCAATAAACCCCATAAAGTATGCCTACCTAATGAATCCCGCTGAGCAAACAGTGGTTTATAGTGGAAACTTTTAATATAAGTGTAAAACTGTGAATTAAAGTTAAGCGTATTCTTACTTGAGTCGCTAAATTTGTATTTATTACTAGTAATAG